CTGTTAGAAGGACCATATATGTGGATTAAATGCATCACAGGAACTCTTGATAACTAATATTAATAAGAATAGTTTTTGCTAATAATAAATATTGACTTCTGGTGTCTGGAAAAATTCTGGGGCATTTGAATATTAATGGAATAGATCTGTTGATTTCGGAAGAGTAAGTTTGCATATCATGTATCTTCTGTAAAAGTACATATAGACGAACAAATTATATTCAGGATGAGGCTTTCAATAGGTCACAGCTGTTTATGGCAATTATTTGATGTCTTCTGTATCCCATGGTAAGTAGCAGCTAAATTGAAGCATCTCGTCTCTCCCTGAAACAACTGTTAAATTATCATTGTTTTGCTTCCATTTACTATGGGAGAGAAGACACATAAAACAGTTAGCATGGATAGTTGACTTGTGATAAATTGCATCCTCCAAATAATTTGTTCATCTGTCCACATGCTACTAAAGCGAGGCCAGTTATTGTCCAGACCCTTGATGTATTGCAGATTGAGTACTGAGAACACAAAGGGTCCAGCCTAAGCAATGCTTATGAATATGGATATTCTTAATCATATTAGTAGTAAATTTACTCATGCCACTTTCATGTTTATTTGACTGGGCATGATTATCCCATGACATTTCAGTATACAGGACAAAGAATGTTTGCCCAGCATTCTTTTAGTAGTATAAATAGTTTACCTAAATTTATTGCTACCAGTGGTTCTAGCTCATTAAGAGTTCTATATGAAACATAAAATGGATTGTCATGACCCAAAAGGCATGATTTTGTGTGTTCTTCAGCACCAGAATTATCCCCGCCAAGTTGCAGCTTCATTGCACGGGAGAGTTTCCTGTTGGAAAGGAAAACCCCGGTGCAGGGACGAGTTTCCCACCTTTTCTGCAGCTTCTTTTGCAGAGTGCATTGCTCATGTTGCAAGAGGAATGCACGGTGCAAAAGAGTTCCCGCCACCGGTATGCAAATTCATTCCCTGCTATTGGCTAGTTCTAAATTATTCACACGTGGCGGCTAGCGATTTGCCTGTTAGCCGTATAAGAGGCTTGAGCGGTTTCCACCCAAGCCGAAGAGGACTCCACATCCATCTCGTGGGGACTCTGGGTACACGGCAGGGTAATAGAAACCCTGTGTGAGATCCAGAGGAGCCTGGCGGCCTGATCCTCCGCCCACCTCTTCCCGTCTTCGAGCGCAACTTTTATAAGACGTAT